GCCCAATACCAATGACGGGGTTATGTGAAGCTTGCTCAATAGAGCCTCAGTTCTAAGAGGGAAATCGGGTGTGGGTACATTGGAAGAGTTGAGCGTTGAATTGAATGAGAATTTCCGAGCAAAGCATTCAGCCTTGTCGGCAGAAGAGGTCAGAACCTCGATCTGGTTGAACAAAGGAGGGTATAGAGGGTTTGCTATTGTTAAGTACGCTCTTGCAGAGATGCCAATAATCTTTGGAGCAAAATTTGCGAGATGCAATACGTTCTTTCATTCGAGCAGCAAATAGTGACTTTGCTTCATTGAGGACATGCTTACACTCATTACGAGCAGAGACAAAGAGATGTCTATTGTAGGCAGACATGTCGCTACAATATAGGTGGAAGAAGTGGTTCCTATGGGCAATGGCAGCTGAGCAAGCAGCTGAGAACCAAGGGGAGGAGCGTGATTTGAACTTATATTTTCTTGAGGGGATGAAAGCCTTGATTCCAGCTTTAACCCAGGAGGAGACCTCAGAATCACATTCTTGACTGGGGAGCGTAAAGACAACATCCCAGGGGACATCGCGAAGGAAATCCCAGAACGAGTCCCAGTCTGCTTGTTAATAGCAGAACAAGGTTCTAGTGGTAGGAGGTTCATTGCAGGGGGTGGAGTTGAAGGAGATGTTTATAGACACTACAGCATGATCAGAATTGCCCAGTGGGCAGAGCTGCGTGGCGATACAGGACTCGGGGATGAAGGTAAAACATAGATTGAGAAGAGAAGCCTTACCATCCCGGTTGTAGGGAAAATGTGTGTGGAAGTCAACTATTTGTGTGAGGGATTGAGAAATTGAAAAATTAAGGGCTTGAATGCCTGCAAGGTCAGTAGTAGTGTTTTTAAGCCACTTGGTATGATGGGCGTTAAAATTACCCAACATGAATATGTGAGCAAACGGATAGAGAAAGAGAGCCTTGTCAATGCTGTCAGAAATGCATTCAATTATACCAGTCTTGGGAGGATGATGAGAGATAAAGGAAGAAGAGGTAGCTTACAACATTGAGAAGAGATAGGAGACACATGTACGAATGGTCTGGAGATTCAAGAGACAGCTCTATAGCCAACGGGAGATGGTCCTTGACATAAACTCCAAGGCCATGCATGTGGGGTTGAGAGTCTTTTCTAAGGAGGAGAAGGTAGCCAGGGATCAAGAGGTCAGAGGAGGGGATCGACGAATCAAGGTTGAATCTTTTTGGATCATTGTTAATTATCATGAGGAAAATTGTTTGCAGAAATTTAAAATAAGAAGATGTTGAAGTAAAAAGCAGACGGGTTTAGGTGATTTTTGAGGTGGGGCAGAGAGAAGTTGGCACAGCATTGCAACATAATGTGGGCCTCAGGGTTGCCCAAATTGGAGGTGAATAAAAAGGATGGTTATCCATGTGCAACATGGCAGAGACAGACACCCCAGTATTATGCAACTGTTGATCAGAGCGGAGGTCAACTCAAGATGCTTTCCAAGCATGATTTAGGGCTCCTGACTACCAGTCGGAAACAGCAACCAGAATACTGTCAACCGTGTACCCTCAGAATGAAGAGGTAATGCCACAGACTGCACACATCACAGGAGAAACACGGCAGCACTAGTACAGAGGCCAGAGAGAAAGAGAGGGAGAGTTCCGGGAACCCCTTCCTAAACAAAAAACAAGGTGTGAGCCTCTACTCATGTCCAAGAGAAGAGGGAGGAGTATTGACTGGATGGTAGGAAAGCCTACCTACTCCTATTACAAATAACAACAACAAAAAAAGGAGGAAAAAAAAAAAAAAAAAAAGAAGAGGAGGTTACAGCTGACAAGGAGTCCAAGCTGACACCAGAAAACATTTACCTAGGGGTAGGACTGGAATGTTATTTGTATTTTTACCTTCCATTACATTAGGTTTCAACTTGTATAAATCCCATTGTCCTAACCTAAAAACAAATTTGGTTATGCAGTAATGTGGATATGCCTGTCATTCTGTTCTTTTCCCTGACACTGGAAGCTAGTAGTTTGCATATGTAACTGTCCTCATGCATTTTAAGGGTCAAAAGATCGGTGAATTCTAGACATTTTTTTTCAGAATGTGCACCTTCAATCCACGTTGTTGCTTGTCTTGTGATGAAAAGAAAACAACTGTCCTCATAAGCAATGTGTCAAAACGAATGAATCACCACTAGTGAGAAGGCATGCAACTGAAATGTACTTAATATGATCGACATATTTTGGCCACTGTGAATCTCTGGTCTTCTTCAAGTGTCTGTCAATCTTGGTAACCTTCACAGAATTTCAGGCTAAACCGTTTATTTAATCTATTACAATAGACTGTGTTCATATCTGGGGATGTCTTGTTCTCTTTTACAACTATTCAATGATTGCTCTTCCCGTTTTCACAGAGTTTGAGTCTATATTACCCAGCCCACCAATTACTATGCTACCAAATGAATTAAATAAAGTGTTTATTTTGAAATTCCATAAAGGTTACTTGGTTTAAGAGATACTTGAAGAAGGCCTGAGAGTATAAATGTGATTTATATAAGATTAGGACATAAGTGCAAATTCTTGAAATTCAAACAAACTTTTGATTCTGTTCAAGTAATTTCTAGTTAAATTAGAAAACACCAGAAACCATCTAAAAGAACAACTCTTTCTATATTAATTTAACTCTTACCTACTCATTCAAAATATAGCCACAAACTATATAGTCTTTGGTTAGGTTTACATTAATTTCAGATATTTTTTTTATTTCAGTCTATGGATTTCATTATAACAATTACTATGGTTGTCAATATTAAAAAATATAGTAGAATTGACTGATTTTACTTTTTAATCAGTTAGTGCTTCTATTGCTTTAAGAGCTAATAAACTCAAGAATTTTGTTTATATTCATAGTAATTTCTGCACTTATGAAGAGAGAAACTATTAAAGGCATTCTAGGTAAAAAGAGGGAAATTATATATTAACAGTGAAGCCTTTAAAGAGAAAAATAAAAAAAAGAGATGGGGAACAAAGGAAGTTTAAAATAAAGGATTTTTGGCAAGGGTAATATTAAGAATATTTACACTATTTACATTGTTCAGACTTGTCCTGATCTTTGTTGCCACTTGAATCTGGCAACAAAGATGAGGACAACAGTCTGAACAATGTAAATAATTACAATACCTCATCTCAGAAACAGGTAGTATTAAAATGTTGCAATGCGAAGAATAAATAACAAGCTGATAATACAAAGAAAAACAGAAAACAAATTCTAAGTAGCATAGCAGAGTTCTTCTCTGTGTCATGTACTTTCAGGACATGAGCAATCATGGCTCTCCACAATTTCCTGTCATTTGCAGCTTTTAATAAATTTTGTCTTTTTGTTATCTCTCCTAAATCTTGCTTTGTCATCCATTTACTCAAGCTTGCTAAGTATGTTATGCATCGTTTTCCTGTACCACTTTCCTTCAATCTGTCCTGTGGATATCAAATTTTCCAAGCCCTTTTCCCTCATTATGTGCCCTAGACATTTCAACTGTCTCTTGGTGTTAAGTACAAATGTCCTTTGTTTCCATTTTCTCTAAAACTTTTTTGTTGCTCACATGTTTGGTCCATGGTATTCTCAGCATCATATAGAACCATATTTCTCTTGTTTCAAATCTCTTGTTCATCTGTGAGGAGATACTTCAGCATTCACTGCCTTATAGGAGAGCTGATATTAGATAACAGTTCAGTATTCTTTTCTTTGTTTCTTAATATTTTTCTTACCTTTTGAAAGGCATTTTTTGCTATTTCAATGTGGTTTCAGATTTCAATGATGCACATTCTGTCCTCTGTTAAAATACTTCCTAGATATTTAAATTTTAGTTCTTTGATTTTGGTAGTGCTCATTTTCCATCTACACTGACATGTTTCTTATCTTGGCATCTTTCATTTTTATGTATGTTGGTTGGACAATGTGTAACCAATCTTTTCAGAAGAAATCAGTTAGTCATGTAAAAACATTAAGCATAGTAAAATCAGAAGACACACACACACACACACATAATGAGGTGTGTGTGTGTGTGTGTGTATATGTATGTATGTATGTAAGTCAGTAAGCCAATATTAATTCCAATCTAATTGGTTGGTAAAAGACAAGGGTAGAGCTTTTACTGCAATATCTCACTTTAGCCCCCAGAGAAGAGGTTATTTTTGTACCAACATCTAAGCAATCTGCATGTACAGTTGTCAAGCAGTGAATACATACATATGCACTAGTGTGTCTTGATTGATTGGATTGGAGATGTATTTTCTTTACTGATCAACTGCCAACCAAAAGAAGAATTTAGATATCAGTCACTCAATAACTGACAATGGCAGATTTCAGGTAGGCAAAACTAAAATAAAAATTGCAGACACTTTGGATTTTCATTATTTATTTTGCCTTGTAAGAAAACTACTTTCTTGTTTACTAATATTTTCTTACCCTCTGTTAAAATCATCAGCAATTGTCTTTTATTTAACTGCTGCAAAAAAGTCAAATTTGTTTTTGTATCTCATGATAAAAAAAGCTTCTCAATAAATGTGAGAGCTTTGAAAGAGAGAGATCAACTCACAGTAGCAAGGACTTGTTGAAAGTTGTCATTGCAGACATTATGGCCAAGACAAACAAGATCCTCCTGATGCAGGCATGCAATCATTTTCATGGCTGCATCAGAGCTATCCTCATACTGAAGTTGCTTCTACTGAATAAGTTGAACGAGTAAACTTTTTTTTAATGGAGCAATTTCATTCCATTGAATTTTTTGTGTTTTACTTTACATCATTTGTTCTCAATTACTGGCCACACCCTGTATTATTCTCATTTTAAATGTTAAATATTAAATCTAAGAAAATGAACTTTATTATATAAATTAATTAGGATTATATACAATAAATGCAGTTAGTGCAAATATATTCATCATAGAGGACATGTATGAGAAATGAACTTGTATTTCTTTGGATAAACAGAATAAAACATAATCTTACCTTTAGTGTCCTAAATCTGCACACCAAACTCGGCATCCTACTGAAGAATCAAAAGACAGAAGAATTTATAAAAAGGGTCATTTAAGTAACTGACAATACTTAAAATTCATAACAAAAACTGTCAATTTGCATGAGACAAAGACCCTTAAAAGCCTGTTTGTCAAGCAGTGTCATGTTTCATCTAAATTTACCATCATACTGTAAAATGAGAAAGAAATGATAAGCTGTAATTTCTTTTAAAATGTGCTCCAAAAAGAATCTGTGGGTATTTTATAAATGCCTTAGATATTTGAAAGACTCATCAGTTTTAATCAGTGCTCTAAATTCTACTTTAACAATTTCTACCAGAATATTATTTAAAATGTGTTCATAGGTAGGACTGTTAATACAAAAAACAGGATTTTCCAAAATGATAAAATCTATCATCCCCATTTTTAATCAGTTTGAAAAAAAAAGAAAAATCAAAGAGAAGTGCTTAAGTGTAAGAGTTTTTTTTTTTCTTTGACCCATGAATGATCATAATCCCTAAAAGAGTGGATGAGCATTAATGGGTTATAGGTAGAGATCTATATTTAATAAGAATTTTTTGTTTATAATTTGTAAATGAATACTGGTATTTACAGTGCATATTAATGAATTACTGAGATTTTTTTTTTTTTTTTTTTTTTAAGCATTTCACCCCAAGCAAGGCAATACTGCCACTAAGATGTAGTGTTAGAAGAAAAATACTAAGGAGAGAGAATAATAAAAGAACAAGAATTAAGACAGAAGATAATGATTCACATTACATTTAAATTTTTGAAGATTAAAGTTGACTGGAAAGCAAGAAGCCAGAAGAGAGTCCCACAAATAAGAAGTATGGTAGAAGAAATTGTTAGCTTAGTGCTACATCTAGCCATTTCAAATGTAAAATGATGAGACCTTGCTACCAATCTAGTACTGTACTTAAATTCATAAAGTCTAAGTACCATAGAGGAAAAGGCACAGGGAAGCTATATCACAGCAGTGGGAAAGCGATTGAAGCCGAGAAGCCAGGTCAGGACCAATAACATTGCAGATTCTTTGGAATTTATCAAGAACCTCTAAATATATAGCAGAAGCACCATACCAGATGTCGCAGCAATATTCTAAGCCTGAGTAAATGGTAAACTTCTAAATATGTACAATAGATTTTGGGGAGAAACATTGTCTAGCACAACACAGTGGGCCAACTTTCTTAGCAACAAACCTCGCAATTGATTCAATATAATCTTTTTACTTCATGTCAGCAGAGAGTGTTAGCCCAAAAAGGTGCAACAAGTCACTCTGCTGGAGATTAGCATCTGTCATTGATGGAAGGTAAAAAAAAGGTTCTCTCAAACAATTAAAAGACAGCCGTTTTATTTTGCCTGCATTAAATGCAAAAGTATCTAGAAGAGTGGCCATTCAAGACATCTTTCATTTCATGTTTTGATAAGACTGAATCAGTTAAAAAAATTTGTCCAAAAATACCATAACCTTTCAACTTGTGAAGAAGATCAATATGCCAAACCCTGTCGAACACTTTCAAGATGTCCAAAGTGACAGCCCGAGCTTCACCATTCTTATCCAAAGCTTGACAGACTCTTGCAGTAATAACATATCGGTAGATGACCTAGAGAAGCAAAAGTCATATTGCTTATCTGAAAGAAGACCTTGTTAGATGCTTAACCAATTCAGTGTTGATTAGAGCCTCTAGTATTTTGCCAAAAAGTATAAGGCTAATAGGCCAATAGCAGGATCAGATGGTTTGACAAAGTTCTTAAAACCAGGAACTACAAAAGAGGATTTCCAACAAGCAGGAAGCAGCAAAGAACTTATTGTACAGTTTAGAGAGAACATGAGCTAGTTCTGGAGCACATTTCTTAAAGACTATTGCCAGAATACCATCAAATTCATATGCTTTGAGGGAATCTAGTTTAAGATATTCCAGTTGAATAAAGAATAGATTTTGAGAATTTCCAAGCAAAATATTCCACTTTATCAATAGATGTTAACACCTCAAATTGAGTGAAAAGAGCATGGATAAAAGACTTTTATTTAAGACATGATTACAGGGTCACCAGTAGTCATAAAAGCCAAACTTGTTAGAAGATGTGAGGTGTTTTATTCTATCTGCAGCCCCTTTGAGAACATGTTTACAATTATTATGAACAGACACAAAGAGGCTTCTGTTGTGATTGGAACTATCATGCTGGAATACCTGGAATAAGTGATTCCCATGAGATATAGTGGCAGAGCAGGCTGGTATGAACCAAAACGATTGTGGTTTCACCCGCTATTTCCAAGATGGAATAAAAGTATTGATGCCGTCTTTGACCTAGGAAGAAACCTCTTATAAAATTAAATTGCTTCAAAAAAAAAAAAAAAAAAAAAAAAAAACCTCCAACTTCAAGCAATGAAATAAAAATTGCATTGAAACAGCTGGTTGCTTTGAAATAATGACTACAACTAAAGAAACTGCATAGAATGAAACGGTGTCATGGCAAATAAATTTACATGAATGATCCTTTTACAAATGAGACATGATTTGATACGAATTTCACTGTTCACTGCAAATTTAAAATAAAGGAGTGTGTGTGTCCTTGAAACTTAAAGCATTTTGAAATCATTTGCTATTAGTCATAAAATATTTATTTTTCAATTTTTTTCTCCATCTGTGAAAGAAACAAAAACTTTAAGTAGATTTATGATTTCTGTTTTGATACATTCTACTGCTATCAAATCAATTTTAAGCAATTTAAGATGGGTTGAAAAAAATAAAATAAAATGCAAAATTAATTTATCAGTCATTTTAAAGTAATTAAAAATTTTTTTTTTTTTACTTTATGTATGGAAAATTTCCTATCACAAACATAGGAAAAATAATTTCTGCTAGTTTGAATAAAAAAAATTAACAAGAAGAAATATTTTAAAGTTAAAATGTGTTAAGCAAATCTATTTGTATGAAAATCAACATTTCACCATTAAATCTTAAACTGATTTCAAATTTAATTTTCTATATCTTTCAAATTTACTTCAGATTTATTTGAACATTACATAAATGTTATAAAAATTTATTTTATTTCGGAAATTCCTCAAATCTACATTCAATTTTTTTTTAAATCTATTTATGAGAAGTCAAGAGAAAAAAAAAATTAAACCTAATTGTTCAAGTGGTAAGAAGATTATACCAAAAGGTTTAAAATTTAATCTTTTCAATCTTTTCTTTAATAAAATCACAATAACAAAGTAATTTTAGTGTTGTTTCTTTCAGTTTAAAAAAAAATGATTATTATCTCTGAGGAACATGATAAATATTTTATTTAAAACTTCAGTTGAAAGATGAAAATATCTGTTTTAGTTTCTTTATGCTGCAAATTTCCCTATTTCAACCTAGCAATGTTTTCACCAACTGAAATTTTCAGAGAGAAAAACTTTTTTAATTGAAAATGAAATTTACTTTTAAAAATTAAAAACAAGTTTACTTTATATTTCATTTGATTAAATATAAGAGAATGAAATTACAACAGAAATGGCTACACAAAAAACAGGTGGATAAAATTGTCAAGCTGCAAAGATTAAACTCATAGTAAGTGCATGCATGCACACACATTTATATATATATATATATATATATATACACACACAAAGAGGAAATGGTACTTATATTTTACTGTTACAGTCACACAATCATCAGGTGGCAAAAGAGGCAATAAAACATTAAATAGAAAGGGTTCACTTGCAGCTAGTATTATATAAAAAAAAATAGAAATAATAGTAGTATTAAAGAGGGGTAGATACTAAATATGATAAAACATGCCATATTTATGAAATTCACACAGGCATCCAGATAATGGGTGTTAGACTTTCACCAAACACCAATAAGAAACTGGTTGACATACTTGCAGGATGCTATGAGCATTCTACCATCATCCATTGAATTGCTAATTTCACACTCAGGTAAAGGTTACACTTATCGACCTTAACAGTGAACACCCACTTTTTGCTGATGATTTCTCATTCCACTGTGGACGGTGTCTCCTTTTTTAGCTGCAGGTAACAGTAAAATATAAGTACTGTTTTCTCTCTGTATATTTTATATTTGCTCTGTATTTTGTGTATATTTTATTGAGCACATTGTTTGTAGTGCCTACAAACTTTGACTTCTGTATATTCAGATCAAAATTGATTGATTTCTGTATATTCAAATCAAAATTATGGATAAACCATTTCCTTGTTTTTATTCAGGCACTTATTTGAAAATTGGAAAAATACAAAAATTTAACAGACCTTTTCAGTTGAATTTAACATCACACACAAAATATATGCAGTTTAAATATTAAAACTACTAAATAACTAGTGTAATTTTTATAATTATTTTTTTAATTCTTAAAATGCCTTCCTAATTTTGGATTATATTCATCTTCAGTAGCAGATTCTATAATCTAGAAATATATGGAAGATAAAATATTGTGAACAGAAATAATTTATCTTTAGATAATTATTTCAACACACCATATCATCCCCCCCCCATTTAAAAAAGCAAATGGAGAATTTCAAATTTATAAATGAAATGTTGGAGGTTAACTGCAAATGGACACAATATTATTTTTTAATGTATTTTTATTAACTTGCACTGCTACTCACATTTTCAACTTTATTTTATCACCATATAAAATAAATATTTATTATAATCTGAAGGTTTCTTTGCTGAATCATGGCAACATCTAAATAGTTAGGATGGAAGTTGATTCATTCTATACAAATGTAAACAAATTTGTATGAAATGGTCTGAATTTCAGAGTCTCAAATTAACAACCACTTTGCAAGTTTCAAATATTCTAAGACTGGTTAGAAAAAGAAATGTCTAGTAACTTGTAATAAAATAAAACAATAGCAGGAATTACAAAACTGATTGGTAGGTACCATTGAATTGTGAAGAAGTGTGAAAATCCTGGATGATGGCAAAGTATATCCCCTATCAGTAGAATTTATTAAAATAATCTATGAATCAATGAAATTTTCAAGCATTGTTAGCAA